TTTCTATCCACCGATTAAAGGAAACTGATTTTGAAGATGGATTTAGTAGTGGGTACATCCTTATGTATGATTTAGATAGATAAAGCAAATATATGACACTGAACATAAAGGCTCCTATTTCATTAACTCTTTCCCTTGCAGCATCTGTATTTTTGGAACCTCAAAATTTATTCCTTAGACTCCTAGAAGCCAAAGATAAAAAACCCCACAGACATAAAAATGAAAGTGCATAAAATGGAATATGAACCTGATAGAGGAGTTCCCAGGTGGAATCTCAAAAGAGATCAGTGCCACATTTTGCAAGGTTCAGATCACATGTGATCATCTGGAAAGTAGGTCTGTGAGAATATATGTCAAGCAGCATGATTACCCCCAAAAAAGGCAGATGACTTTCAAGCTTTGCAAAACTCAGTGTGAAAGGTTCTTGGTCTTCCTATGACTATCCTCGATAAAAATTGAAGGAATACAAAATGTGCCAGAGAGAAACACTGATTGCACACAATCAATAATTTTGATTTCCATGCTGTCTCAATTCAGTAATAAATTAGGAATCAGAGAATCTACTAAAAATGCCAGATGGTTCATTATGAAATACACCAGCTGTCCTTTTTCCTCCAGTGTCTCACTTTAAACTGGTAGGAAATGAAGTCACTTTAATCTACTCTGCATGGCCCTACAGTAAAAACTGCCATCAAAATAAAGGTTGAAATATCCAGATACTCATTAGGTTCCCCTAGTCTGCCATCATAATGTCATGAAGTGCAATCACTCGCCCATTCGGCAAAGCAAATCACATATTTCCACTGATGCTTCCCTGCTCTCAATGCTATACCATTTGTGCAATAACCAATAACTGTTATATTATATTTATTCCTAGCCATGTCAGCAACAGGCTCCTTTGGTTTCCAAACATATCTACTGGTTTCCAAACACAACCTCTGCCCCACAGTTCTTGCATTAAGGTAGGCCAGTAGACTATTCCCTACTTGTATAAGCCGGATCAACACCTATAGAGCTGAACATGAGCAGAATGTTTAATTTATAGTTCAAGCATAGCAACATCAGTTAGCAAGATCCATATTAGATATCACATCAAAGGTGGTTCCTCCCGGGGACCTGGGAATAGAGAGGAAAGATAGTTTTACAGAGATACACAGATATGACTCAAGATAAAACTCTTCAGTTCAACAGACTAGCAATAAACTCAATTCCAAAATACCCCTACATTTGAACAGAAGGCAGGGGGAAGTTATTTAAAAATCACATCTATATTTACTACCCTTGAGTGCTAACTTTGCAAAACTGATACATCTGAAGTGTTAAGAAATAAATCCTTGGGGGTTATAGAAGTAAACTTCTCTAGACACTATAGACTAAAACTCTTCCCTGTTTGGTTTCAGTTGCTTTACTTCAGGGGCTAATTTGGCATGTTGTAAGAATGTAATAGTCTATGCATAATCTTTTAGAGCTCAGCCTCAATTACTGTAGTACAGCCAAAGCCTTTCCACTAAGGTTTTCTAGAAGTAACAAATCTATCCCTCAGCCATAAATGAAGATGTAAGCAATGCAAACACAAGTAGTCCAGAGGGACATTTTGTCGCATTGCCTCACACAAAAAAAAAACCCTATTCATTTTCAAGCTAGTTCTCTTTGGTTCCCTAGCTAAAAAAGATGACTTAATTCCTGTAACTGAGTAAGTTCATTAGCAATTTCTAAAATACATTCCAGTAAAATTGGGCTATGATTTGCTCATTTATGCAGCTGTCATTTAGGAGTTTACAAATTTAAGTCCCTCCATAGCTTTTGGAAGTTTATTAAAATGCATCATCGTTAGATATTTTGCCCTGAAACTGTCGCAATATTCCCACACTGGTAACATAAATTACATTAGTTGGGGGACTAACTGCACACATTTATTCTTCTGAGAGAAGAGACAAATAATTTCTTGAAGTTTACATAAATGTACTCCGGTAAGTTACTTTTTCCCACCTATTAATTGCCAGTCCTGTCTTAGCATACCATTTATTCTGGGAAAGAAATACACTTCTAGACATCTCTTATTTTATTTTCAGAAGTAAGTCTTAGTTTTCCACCTTCCTAGGTTTCTAGGCAACCTCTAGGTTACTCTTAATCTGCAATGCTGTATTTGAGATAATTCAGCTTCAGTGTATCAGGAGATAAACTAAATATAAAGTCCACCTTTTAACTTGGCAGGCAAGTTTTTAGGTTTTGACAAAACACTTGGCATCTAATATTCTTACAACTGAGTTAGTGTCTAAGATGAACAAGAAACCAGTGACACAAACAAAAATATCATCAGTTAAGTTAGAATAGCTAAAATTTAGATACTGAGATGTACTGAGATATACTTTAGATACTGAGATGTTTCATTTACAAGACCTAAGGAAGTAAAAGCAAGCACTTATCTTTAATTCCAAATGACATTTTCAAATAAAGCTTAAATGTTTCTCTGTAGTGTTACTCCTCCAAATGTTGGAATATGAAAACAACTCCTTTTTTCCTTATCTAAGCTGTTGATTTGATTGTTAAAGTTATTTCCACTTCAATAACCTACAGTATTAATAAAACTCTGACACAGAATTTCTTTTAAAATACTATTAAACCTCTGCCTCTTATTTTCTACCGTGTTTAACACAAAAGCATTGATAAAATGATGCACTTTGCAAGACCATGTCCCATACTATCTCTTTTTAGCAGCTTTTTAAACTGAACACAATCTGTTTTTCTTGCCATAATCCACAGCTGCTTCCAAAAGTTCCTTCTGAGGCTCTAGGTTTCTTTACATAGGACTTTCACAAAGAATCTCAATTCTCAATGCTCAATTAGCATTTGTTTCAAGTACTTTATTTTATTCAATTCATGAATATCTGCTCTGACTAACATTTTCATTACTGTAACCAACTGGAAAAATAATCTTGGAGAGCATACTTTAGAGCAAAATAAAATCATACCTATTTTTCCAAATCCCCTTTACTGCTGCCTTTTTGGCATATCTTTTCCTTTCTTGGCCTTTTTTAATCTACCTTTAAAGCCTATGCTATACACTTTTGAACTAGAGAAGGCTGAATTTTGCCAGAGGTGAATGTTTTAAGTAATAGTAGTCTTGCAAACATTGAAGGTGGCAAGTGCTATGCACTTAACTCTCCTTTATTGCATCTTTTTTTTTTCTATCCTGAGGACCTGAAGAATCCTACAGAGCTGACATAAAAAGAGATTTTCTAATCTAAGAGATTTTCTGTTTGTTTCGCGCTTTATCTGTATTTAACCATTGCCATTTTTTTTCCTATACTGGAGCACGTACATGCAGCCTGAGAAGCTTGTAAGCAAAATAAAGTTCACTGCTTCACAGGGTGCCTGTTTTCCTTATTTATGGGGAGCTTTGGCTGAAAAGCCAGTATTCTCTGTCTAACTTTAGTAGAGGCGTATTATGTCTATTTATAGATGGAGAAATGGAGGTGAAGTAAGAAGAATGATTTAGCGAAATCACAAAATAGGTCACTGTCAGTCAGTTCAGACTCCAGGTATTGTGACTCTTTATTTTTCCCCCTTCCTGTGCTTTTGCATCCACAGCACTGTGTTTTGGGACAGTGCTGACCCAAAAAAAAAAGCCTTATTTCTGCTCCAAGGTCTTATGCTACAAAGCAGCAAATGTGGATACCATCGAACACTACATTGTGTTGAAATAAATCTGAATAAAGCACTTCATCTCTCAGAGGCAATCTAATCACAAAAAAGGCTGGTTTATTACATACATTTACAGCAATGCACAACATTTGTGTGGCTGTTATCACCAGTCCTAGTTTGCAAATGTCTTCTCAATTTTATCTAAGCCGTGTCTAATCATTTGTGACTTTTATTGATCATGTAAATTCGGGATTTGCACAGCAGTTTTGCAGGCTGATTTCCACATCCCATTAGGACCACGCGAGTGCTCCAGCAAATCTCACCCAAGTGCCGCAAGCGGCGGCGCTCCCGTTTGCATTGCCCTATTTGAGGCCCCAAACCTAGTTTTGCCAGTTTTCCTGTCAAGCCTACCTGCCGGGGCAAGTTTTACCTCACTGCAGCATTTTGTGAGGAACGAGCCCTATCTCACCTGCTACACGAAGCTAAAGCAAGCCCACGGATCCCCAAACCAAGCCCGACCCTCGACACCCCGGGTAGAGGTGGTAATGCCGCCTCACCTCAGCAGATGAAACACCTCAGAAACGTGACTTAGGGCAACTTTTTGTTTAGTTTTATTTATTATTTCTCCCCATGGGCAGGCCTGTCCGCGCACGTTTACCGCCGCTACGGGCGGGCTCCGCTCTCCCGCCGGCAGGAGCCGCCGCCGCGGCGCCCAACGGACACGGCCGCGGCGCCGCCTCCCTTCGCTTCGCTTCCCTTCGCTTCCTTTCCCTGCCCTTCCCGCCCGCGGCGCCGCCTCCCTGCCCTTCCCTGCCCTTCCCGCCGCGGCCCGCGCTGCGCAGGCGCCGCACGAGGCCACGCGCGACGCCGCTGCTGCGGGTGGC